TATAGACTAACCCTGTACTGGTCACCCTTCCATCAGAAGATTAATAGTTAAGTTCAAAGCCACTCAGCTTCTTTCAGCCTCTACTTCCAACCCCCACATCTGGTTGTTTGTGTATCTCTGCTTGTTGCCTTCCCAGTTTCCTTGTTTCTAAGCACGCTTTCAGTTTCGTTGCTGACAGCCCTCCTGCCACCAACGCAGCAACACAAAGTGTGAGAACTTGCAGGAATCTGGCCTAGCACTGCACACACAACTGACAACAGCAGTGCCAGTACCCAGTCTGCTTTTTCTATCAGTTTCAGAACAGGCCTGTAAACTTCCTCGACACAGGCCAAGTTTGATAGGTACCACAGACCAATTGATCTCGTAACAAAAGTTAGATTTAAAAATGAGGAGAATCTGTTGTATATTTGTTCCTCTTTACCTCCAGGCATGCCCCAGCCACAAGCACTCACTGCAGCACACTGTAGATGTTTGTGGTATGATTGCTACATCACCGTTCTCGTGATAGGCTTCAGTGCCAGTTTTTGCAGCAGCTGCCACAGGCATTTTGATTATAACCTACAAAATCACAGCCTCCCAAGCCATGTTCCATAACAAGGACTCACTCAGCCCATGATTCACTGTCCTCTCCCTTAAGTATATATTTCTCATTTTTGCCCAGTGTTGCTAGAAACTACACGGTATTTAAGATTAACATCTGACAAGTCAGAAGGAATGAGTGCCCTTTTGTTAAGTTTTACCCATACTTACAAACAGCTACATGTGTAACCTCAACTACAAAAGTCATCCAAAACATTTGGTTTGAGACTTGCAGGAAAAAAAAAGAAAAAAAAAAAGGATAGAAGCTCAACTGGTCAAGACAGCTTTGGTATTAAACAAGCTCCACATGCACACAGTATGCATCAAACCTCAGCCCCTCACAAATCTCAGGTACATCATTACCAGAGCAGCAATAATCAGAGCATTACACCATACATTCACAAAATACTAGTTAAAAAACTTACAGTGACTCTTTCATGAATAATCAAAGAACTGCACAAGGTATCACCTGTATCTTTATTTGTGCTCAATTATTTTATAAGCAGCCTTTTCAGTACAATCACTCTTTTCACAAAGCATTCTATCAGTATCTTTACCATCAGCTGTTTACCGTCAACAACACGACCCAAACTGTGCAGCTGCATGGAACGTGTGAGCTCAGGCACAGCTCTGTACTAGTCAGGCTGTAACGCTCCTGGCTTAAAGCCAGCCCTGACCAGCCAGGCAGAGTAAGCTCATGCCTTTCTGTGCCCTTTTTTTTTTTAAAAAGTGCTAGGACACTGCTAGACATAGAAACGTTACCTTCCCCAACAGACACAGCCAGCTGGTCACTTACCTTCTTTCCCAGACATACTTGACTGGCCAGTTATCCACATAAGAAGCTGATGAGGACTGCTGGCTATTTCAGATTACCTTATAGTCCTTCAAGGCACGCTTTGCACAGCTGAGGCAAACCTAAATTAGGAGGATCTATCAAACATATAACTCCAATACTGATATTCCTCCCCAAACCTGGCAGTTTTGCCCTACAAGCATACCAAGATTCATTTATTTGAATGTTATTAGCATACATTTCTGTTTGAAAGTTTATTTCAGAAAAGCTATTTTAGCAATTACAGCAGACAGGGCCATTTAAGAATGTGCACACTTGGAAATCCACCAAAATCACATCCAGAGTAACTATCAAGCTTAAAAGCACACATCTAAATCCACGTGTTCTGCTGGGTTTTTTGTGGGTTGGGGTTTTTTTTCCTCTCTTTTGGCAGGGTCTGAGGGGAAGTGAGGGGAGTGTCACATGCGAATAATAGGTGTCTCTATACACCTAGAATGACACATTAACATTAATCAAGGTCTAAAGTTGTTTATAATAAACACATTTATGGCAAGTCATTCTTTTGCAAAGGATTCAAATTGCACAAGAATCTCAGGAAATGCAACTTGCAACAACAAAACTAAATGAACAATATTCAAGAAGAGTCTCCAAAAGAGAAAACAAACACAGGAAAGAAAAAGAAAAGCAGCACAGACAGTCTGCACTCTCCGATTGTGACACAGAGGTCCCAAGCCCGTGATGACACTGTAACCCCTCACACAGTTGCGGCTGCTATGAAGATAGCTGCAAGCTTGACAGAAAGTGCATCACATACAGGGCTGGAGATACTGCTTCAAGCATTGTTTTCGGATTATCTTCATAGGGCTTCAGTATTAACAAGCTATTAAGTAGTCAAACTGTCTTTCATAGAAGTTCAAGTTAATTAAGCTACCTGAGCAACTTTTAAAATAAATAGCATCACGAATTTCTATCACTGGAAAGGAATAGAGGCTGCCGTTACACACACATCTATATTCCATACAACCCATGCTTTGTCTGACCCAGTAAGAAAAGAGCTGTTAAACTGAACGTTAATGAACATTGCTATAAACTGTGTTTGAACAGACTCTTCGGTCATCAAGAAACGTAGCGCTTTTCTCCCCTTACTCACCGGAATTTTGCAAAGAGAAAAATCAAACCAACACAATCAATACATAATCAAGAGCATAAAGACCATGTTACAGTTTTGCATGGACAGAAATTAAAAATAAAATCTTCCAAAAATAAATGCGTGGTGCACTAAGTACAAATTCCTTTTCACAAGAAACATACATCAGACAACAAGATCCCAGACTGCCCTTCACAAGTCTCCTGAGGGCTTACTCTTCTTCAAAACCTGTTCGAAGGTTTTTAAGTCTGTTCATGTTTTTGTAACACAAGCACTACATTGACATAGCTTAGCAAAAAAATATACATCGTTTTTTCTAAATGCAAGATCAGTCAGCTCATAGAAGCTACCTAAAACCAGAATTTCTTCTTTCCATCAAGCAATCAGACTAGGTAAACATAATCGAGCTGCACCTTTACTATCTCACCGTTCCTGGCATATTTGCTCACTTGAGCGCTTGTGTCCAGTGCCATCAGTGAGCTCTTTCAGATAATTTGGGCAGCAGGATTGTATCTCCAGACACAGCGCTATATATCAGAGTGCCAAGTGACCAAGCCTTCCATACCAAGCACATCACAATTGCTGTCATCCCTACATTTGCCGTCAGGGCATTTGTTGGAAATTTCTCTCTAAAGTCTCTGAGGTCTCCCTTGGAACCTAAAATTATCCAAAGCCATCTATACCCAGGGCTGGACAGGTTAAGTAACTGCACTGTTTTTCACCTGTTGGATTAGACTGCTCTTATCTTCCTACTCAGGTTTCCTCAGTAAACACACGTGCCAGAGAGAAAGTTAATGGAGATGTAAGCAGGCTGTGAGGCTTATTAAGATCAAGCTGACAGTTTTAGCAAGACACAATATCAGTTTCTAATCTTATGAACTCATGAAAACATCCCATGGTGATTATAGGAGCCTAAACCATAGTTGTATTTTTTCTTCTTCTTCAGAGGTTTTAAATGACAAATCATATAGCTTCCTGTCACTCGTGATATATGACTACACTAAAACATAGTGTAATCACACACAGTGTTCCACAGTCACATCCAGGGATGGCAGCTGGGACCTCATCCAGGGAACAGCACTGGCCAGGCTCTCACTGGCCCCTCCTGTTTTCTGCACTTCAGCTAACAGAAATTGGACTTAGAATGAAGAAACAGGACTACCTCCACCTAAAGAATCCAGAGACATTTTTCAAACCTCAAAGTGACACTTTCTGTCACTACATGGTTAAAAAAAAAAATAAATCAGCATTGTGAAAAGGCTGCCACACAAGTAGTGTCCAACAGTCCTGCACAGACAACTTCAAATGGTGGAAATGCTCACCACGAAGTAAAGTTTTCCCAGAACACAAGTCATTAGGATAAAAACTGACACCTCTACAGCCCTCTAATCACAACTCAAACGCCTCACAAACGTTAACGCTTCCACAGCAATAATCTACAAATTGAACATTCGGTCACATCGTGGTGAAATAAATTATTTATGTCAGGTTTAAAATAGCAACTCTTAAGTTTCAGGGCTTTGTTTGTGCCACCGCAGAAAGACACTGTGAGGAGAAAAATGCTAGGCACTGCAAGCACAGCAGCACAGGCACAAGTGGGGATGCAAAGTCAGACTCATGAGGAGGAAAGCAGAGGTTCTATAGTCAGATTATCATCTTAACAATAAGATGGACAAGGTGGGGTGTTGGGCCTTGTTTTAATGGCAGAACACCCTGTGTGCAGAGATATGGCAGCAAGAACACCCCCACTGCTGGCTCTTTGTAGTTACAGCCCTTTTTTCACTAATGCCACTGCCATAAATGTGCCACTGTTTCCACTTTTAATTGCTTTTAGGCTTAACACCTCCTTCCTGTCTCCTTGTATCTTTAATATAACACTGGAATGAAGGAGATCTATATTAAGCCTCGTGGTGTTACGCATGACCTTTCTATTTACTTCAGCTGCAGCATTTATAGTACAATAAAATGTAAACAGCGCTCGTGTCAGAAGAGGGAGCCAATAACCTCTGACCCAGATAGGAGAAGCGCATTGTTACCTAGATCAGAACCAGCCCTCCAACGACACAAGGCACACCCGGCTCTCCACTCAACAGAGCAACGCTACCTGTTCATCAGCGGCGCTTCCTAAAGCACGAACTTCCCACCAGCAGGTCTCCTGAAGCACGACGGCTGTCAACTCTCGTGCTTCAGCTGTGGCTAAGCCAATCACCGCACAGGGGGAACACAACTCCGATATCCAAGCTCAGCGCCGGATCCCCGTCCCACGTGAGAAGCGCTCCCCCCGACACCTCCCCGTTTCCCCCCGCTCCGCGGCTGAGCCCCGCAGTGCCTCCCGCCCCGCGCCGTGACGGAGCACCCCGAGGCCTCCGCGGGACGCGGGGCCCGGGCCTCGCTCCGGGCGTGCCCCGATCTAGGCGGGCGGACCCTCAGAGGACACCGGCCCGCTCGCCCCGCCCGCCCCGGGCCCGCCGAGCCGCTCACCGAAGTCGAGGAACTGCTTGATGGAGAGCGGCGAGGGGGAGAAGCGCGAGTAGTACTCGATCTGCTTGGGGATGGGGCTCTTCAGCAGCGCCCCACACAGCCTCATGGCGCAACGCTAACGCGCTGAGGAGGCGGCGGCGGCGCCGGAGCCACCCGCGCTCATGCCAAGGAGCAAACGACCCGGCGGAGCCCGTAGCGTTCTGCGGCCCTGCCCTGCCCGGCCAGGCTCGGCCCGGCGGGAGGGGCGAGCGGAGGGAGCCCTCCGCCCCCTCCGCCCCGCCCTACTGCGCAAGCGCGCAGGCGCCAGCCCCGCCCCGCAAAGCCGCGCACGCGTATAGCCCCGACCCCCAACCGTCGGGGCGTGTGGCGCGCATGCGCAGAGCGGCGAAGCGCGGGCTGCTGTGTGGACGTGCTAAGGGAGGGCGGAACCTGTGGGTGGTCCGTCGTGGAACCCGGAGTTGGGTTCCGTGGTCGCTGTGGCTCCCTTCCAACTCGAGATACACTGTTCTAAAAATAACGAACAAAGCCTCGTGCTTATCGTGCTGTGTTCCCTCAGTTCTTCTCATGGCAGCTTGCCTGCCCTCTGCAAAATTGAATTGCCAGTGTCTGGGTGGCATTTGGGATTTATTTCCTGCAGTTCAACTTCTTTTGATCAGTCTGAAACGTTACATGTATGGTTAGCTTCAGCTTCAAATTTAGCCTCAGCAGTAGTATTCAATGGGATCTGCAGCCAGAAATGGCAGAAGAAAGACATTTTCCATTTTGTGCAGTAGAGCAAGTTTTAAGAAGTTTGAGAGAAAGAATTGAAAGTAGGAGACTTGAATAGGTTGGATATTAGGAGCAGTTTCTTCTTGGCGAGTGTGGTGAGGCAAAGGCACGGCTGCCCAGAGAGGTGGTGCAGTCACTGTCCATGAAGGTGATGCATGTGTGGCTCTGAGGGATGCGGTCCGTGGGCACGGTGTGACAGCTCATAGTTGGACCAGGTGGTCTTAGAGGTCTTTCCAACCTCTGTGATTCTGGGATTCTACTATTCTGTGACTAGACTACATCATGCCACCAGACCTACTTTGGTTATATGTGGTTATCCCTTACAGCTCAATATTCCTCATAAAAAGAACTCGCACTGTCTCTGTCAAATTTCAGCTCTCTGGTAATTCCTGGAAAGTCAACTCTTAGCTGAGAAATGTGCCTGAATAAAAATAATTTTGATTGCTAAATCCAAAGGTATACCGAAGGAATTTGAGAACTACATCGTACCAACAAATGCTATGTTGCTGTCATTATTTTAGATACGTTTATGACAATTTCATGAAATGACAAGTCACAAATTCCCTTATTTTTTTCTGAAATGAGCTTAATGCAAACTTCAATATATAGGAAATATTACTTTAATTTCATAACTGAATCCCAAGAGAAATAGGGATTCTTCAGTTACTGAAGGTCTCTCTTCAGCCTTCCTATTGTGATTGTCCTTAAAGAATTTGAGACTGAGAAATCCTAACCTAATGTATAAATCATTTTCTAATAGTTGGAAAATGTTTTAAAATCACTTGAATTGCAGGTTAGAGACATGACTGCCTTGAAGAAACATGTAGTGCAATCAAGGCTAACAAAATGAAATATCTTCTGCAATTCTGGAACATTTTTTGGCAGATGACAAAAACTGTTTTTTAACTTTTGCTGGATGCACACTGTTCAGGATTTGGTTTTGATTTATCTACAGCTTTCCTTATGAAATGAGTTGGAGAATTATGTGATACCAAGTAGTGTCATTTTGCATTACAGACAGAGGAATGTTTCCCCATATTAACATGAACATTAGTAGCTGCAAAGGATAATACACCATCAAAATTTAAGCCACATGATTGTATATACCATTCACATTTTTAAGTAATACTAGTGTTATTTCACTTCTGCCTTGAAAACATCTAAGACAAGAGTTACTCAGTAAGTTATCTTTTAAATGCAAACTTTCTTTTTCCCAATATAAATGATGTCACAACATTGCTTTGTTGGGACACCAATAAACATATAAATCTAGATCTTAATCTGCCCAAACAAAGAGAAATTGGGCATAAACTTTAAGAAGAAAACATCACCGAGATCAATAGACGTGAAGTATAAATTCCTGATTTTGTCTCCTCAAGAAACTTTGCACATGTAATGAAATGTCTAAGAAGTGTGCAATGACTGTGCAAGGCGCTACAGTGAACTACAAGGGAAGGAAAGAGATTTTATTTGGCAACTGGTTTGTTGTTTTGCCTCCTAGAATCACCAGCATTCCTGCTCAAATTGAGATATCCCTCTGTGGTACATAATGGAGTAATCAGAAGTCTATGACATTATTTAGAAAATAATGATATAAGGTAATGAATAGTAAATAGAGTTTGATTTAATAGCTCTCCTCCTGTGTGGAATGAAGTGGAGTAACCAGAGGAAAAGGCATATGGAATTGATACCATAATAATTTGCATGACTGGCTTTCACATTTAGAAAATGAAGGAAGTAATGGAAATGATGCAAATATGCTTTGAGCAGAAATGAGAAGCCAGAGCTCATCTATAAGGTAAGGAGAATAGATGACACCATAGCTATTTATTAAAACATTCATAATGTGTTGGTCAAAAGAAACTCCTGCAATCATCTTACTTGGAGCTTTGTTTCCTGAATGGTCACTGAAGTAAATATCTGTGAACATAAAGAGTGGTAGGATCTTACTGTAAACTATGATCAGCCCAAAATAATTTTCAAGCTAATATTTTCAAAAGTATCTTTAACCTTTGAAATAACAAAAAAAAACCACCCAAACTTAAAAATTTTCTTTAACCATTTCACTATTTTCCTTTTTTGTTGTTGTTGTTTTTTGTCAGTTGTCTGACTCTTCATTTTCTATTTCCTAGCTCAAAACACATGGGTGTATTTTCTACATAAAAAACCAATTCCTTGCCATAACTTGTGCTCAGAAAATTCCTGAGGAACCTGAGCATAATGCTCAGATTGGCGTCTAGCAGAGCCAGCTTTGCTAGGATCCCTTCCTTTAAACTCTCAGTGGTTGGTTTTCACTAGTCATCTAGCATTTCTGTATTAGTGCTGGAGGGAAAGGGGGCCAGAAATACTCTCTTGCTAAAACATGAGATTCTTCGTTTTGCTTCTCCCTGCCCCATCCACTGGCTCCAGTGAGTGCCTTTACAAACCAGCCCATGGCTCCCCTAGAGTAGTGAGCGTGGAGGAGCCTCTGCTGCTTAATCTCCACATATGTGAGTATTCTTGATACATGAGTTCAGTGCAGTCACGGGGATGGAGAATGAACCTTTGTATGACTAGTAGTGAGAAAATATCCTTACTAGAAATGAAATATCTCCCTAGATTTATTAGTGTTTGTCAGCAGTTCGGGAATCATTCCTGTTCTGATAGAAATTTGTTGCAAAATTTCATCTAGGCAATTCAGAAGTCACGTTTGTGTTGTATTTTCAGATCTTGTTCTTTCACAGCCTTTATGTTACATATGCTTCCATTTTCAGGGAGCAAAGATTTTGCATGTAAAGTTTTATCCAATTAAGATTTATTCTCGGTGAACATTTTGGATTGTTAAAACACCAGAGCCATAATCTCCTTAACAAAGCTTGTTTTTCTTCACTGCAGAATACTTGCTAGCTGCAGGGGATTCAGCATAATGAACTTCTTTGTATAGGTGTCAGAGGAGGAGAAGAGGAATGTTAAACCGTAAACTAAGAAAACATGGTTAGTAAGTGTTTTCTAGACATTGACTTCATGGGATTCATAGCAATTTTTTAATAACAAAAAAAGAAGCTGTGTTCAAGTTATTGTACCCCTATATCCTAAAGTTCAGAAGCACTCACTGAGAATAATACAATTGAAACACAATCAATAACAGTAACAAACAACAGTTATTTTGGGGAAATTCACACAGAGAATTACAGTCCCAAAGCACATTCTACAAAATGACAGAAAAAAAAAAAACAACACAGCACGGGAAAAACTGGTATAGTAGTGTGATGTTTCGTACAAATTACTTCTGCTCACAGAACTAATTTTTCACAGTAACAATGCTGTGTTTTCCTGCTTGCCATTATGTGTTTGCAAGGGCCGATTAAAGCAGTGGGTCTTGTACAGCTGTGTTGGAAACATGAGGTTAGAAGGGGATAAGAGCTTTTGATGAAACTTTCCTAAACTTGAAAAGAAACTTGTTTTCATTTGTAATATTTTACCTCTTCGTGGTATTTATGCACTCAGGCGGTAGGCTTCAATGGGCTGCTACTCATAATGGTCAGAAGATAGATAACACTCAGTGCATGAGATTAAAGTCAATGTAGTCGTTACATCTGGGGTCACATGTATTGAATTAGATTCTATCACTATCATTGCCTACCTTTTCAGGCATTCTTGTCTGTTTCTCACCAAGCTTCTTTACCAGGCTTTATTTCTGCCAGCAAATGCTGGTTGTCATTGCATTTATCATTCCACATCCTAGTTAGCTAAACAGCAGAGCTCAGCAATCTTACAAAAAGCAACAACAGGGACTATCAAAATTATATTCAGTGATTCTAAGAGATTTGAAAATTCATCTCTTTCTTTGTAGATAAGAATACGTAGATAACAAAAAGGCTTGCAAAAGCGTTCATCATTAGTGGGCTTGAAAGTACAAAGATTTTTTAGGGTACAAACTCCATGTCTCTCTTAATTAGCTCACCTTCCACAGTAATTTGGAGGATGTAAGGCTGGCTGCCATTGTGTGGTGATGTGAGCTCTGTCAGACGACACCATCTGTTTGTTCAATATTAATGACAAAGCTACATTATTCCATAACAGCTCTTACAAATTTCATCTCTGGGGAAAACAAATAGGTGATTTCCTTTTGAAATTGTTCAGGAGATGCAGGAGAGGAAACTGTTGCCACTAGATAACTGAGAGTAAATACAGAGAAAAAGAGTTTTTTCCTACTTCTCTCTGTCAGTGAGGAAAGATCACTTTATGAGTTTAGCAACTCAAACCTAACACTATAACATTAGTCACACTTTTTCCTTTAGTTTCATGGGAGTTTCTCTCTTTTCCTTCCCCCATTAGAGTTTCACACTGCCCTTTTCTCCAGTACATTTTAGGGGAAGGAAAGCAGGGAACCTGGCTGGAGCAGGATTTGTAGTAATCCAAGTGGCTGTCAGTTCACTATGAT